ATATATATATATATATATATATATATATATATATATATATATATATATATATATATACAGGGTTACCTGACCGAACGTTCGGGCGTTCGGGGTCCGAACACCTCCAAGTTTAACCCCCGCCAAAACAATATTTCAGGGCCTAAAAATAAGTTTTTTTTCTCTGAATTTGTTTTTGTGAGTTCTCTATGATGTAACCTACACGCCTATAAATTTTGAAGTCATTCTGCTAAGCCCAAAAAACATTAAAAATCGTCAAGGATGGGGGTGTCAAAACGTGCTCGCCCACTCACTATTTTGTTTTGTTTCACTTTTAACTTTCTGTTTTCGCTTTATTTCAAAGCCTAAACAATTTTATTATTTTTTAAAAATTTTCAAATGAGTTATTGATTATGTAAACTACATATCTGTAAATTTTCGGGGCATTTATCAATGCCAAAAAATAATTAAAAATCAGCAAAGATGGCGGTGTCAAAAAGGTGCTTGCACAATCACTCATTTTAACTCTCTTTTTATTTTTTCTTATTTTTATCACAGTGTTTATTTTCTGTATTGGATTTTTAATTCAAATTTGGTAAAGAATTTGGATGTAGTGGCCAGGCAAATATTGTTTAGTTTATTTGTCTCCATAACATAGTTTTTTTTCGATTGTTTTTTTTAATTATTATTATTATTTATTTATTTATTTATTTATTTATTTATTTATTTATTTATTTATTTATTTATTTATTTATTTTTGGTCCGCGTTCGGCCCGAACGGCCGAACGCCTCCCGAGGGGTCCCGTACGTTCAGGCGTTCGGGTTCGGGCGCTCGGCCCGTCCCTATATATATATACAGGGTTACCTGACCGAACGTTCGGGGGCCCCCGGGCTGGCCCCCCAAAGGTTCAGGCGTTCGGGGGCCGAACACCTCAAGGTTCGGCCCCCGCCAAAAAACATTTCGGGGCCCAAAAATAAGTTTTTTTTTCTGAATGTTTTTTTGTGAGTTTTCTATGATGTAGCCTACACGCCTATAGATTTTGAAGCCGGTCTGCTAATCCAAAAAAACATTAAACGTCGTCAAAGAGGGGGGTGTAAAAACAAGCTCGCCCACTCACTATTTTTTTTTTTTCATTTTTAACTTTTTGTTTTCACTTTATTTCGG